CAAGAAATGTGTGTATCACAACACAGTATTGAATAACATACAATGCACATAGTAAAAAATAACCTAAAGTGAGCATGAAGGCAATGCATGCAATGTTAAATTAATAAGGATGGCTGATTATACTAGTGTAACTTTAAATAATAAGAGAAATGTAATTACACTTGCTATTAAGGTTAACTATATATACACTGATGGTTACTGACCTTTTTGGAAGGTACTGTTTCTCTGCCATTTTACCCAGGTTATTCTTTTTCTCTTCTTCTGTCTCTTGTCCTTGGGCTGCCCTCTGAAATTATTCAAATTAAAAACAATGAAAGGCAAATAGAAATATGCTGAAAGAGATGTGGCTTTAAAATACATGGTAATATAAACCATTAAGTGCAAGATTTCTTAAAAAAAAATCAGACAAGGCTGAAATAATATGAAGAGAAAAGAAAAAGAACTTGAAATACATATTAGCCAAACTTCTGCAATAGTTTTGCACCAAAATGCCTTCTACATTGATAAAACTCATAACGAAACACCTGACAGCCTGGTGCATGGCCATGGTAAATAAAAAAGCAAAGCACACTTAGGAAGTCCTATGAGAATATAGTCTAAGGGTGCATCAGCTTTATCAATGCCCTAGTGAATGACTGACACCCACAACAGTTTGATTACTGACCTTCAGCTGCCTGGATTTATCCCCTGAGGAGGAGGACTGCGATGAATGTGAAGAGGAGTCTGATTTGGAGTCAGAATCTGATGAGGAATCTGAATCTTGTGCCTCAGTCACAACCACTATGTCTTTTGAAGCTGACTGCCATCTCTTGTCATACTCCCCCTTTAGTTGTTTCTCCTCTCTTCTCTTTTCTTCTTCATGGCTTTGTTTCTCTTTTTGCTCTTCCTGACTTTTTCTTCCTTTTTCTTCCTCCTCTTCCAGTCGTTTTCTCTCCTTTTCCACCTCTTCTTCCAAGCGCTTCTTCTCTCTCTCCTGTTCTAGTGCCTCCCTTTCTTTCTCCTGCTGTGGCTCCTTCTCCTTCTCCTCCTTTAGTTGCCTCTTCTCCCCCACCTCTCTCTTCTCTTGCTGCCTCTTCCTCTCCAAACTTTGTGGTGGAGATTCACTGGAAGACCCAGCAGTGGAGTTTGTTGTCTCTCCTGACATTTCTGCAGCTGAAGTGGGCTCATCTGCATGGAAAGCCCCCTCCGACTCCATCCTGTGTACAAGTAGAGAAAGGGGTCCTGACCTGCGCTTCATAGGGGGCTCAGGACTGCTGGAACGAGAGCTTGAATCAGAGTATTGCCTCTGCATGGTGGGAGGCGGGAAAGACACCACTCTTGGGCCACCTCCAGGCTCAGGGCCTTCTCCCTTCAGGTTGCCTGTGTTTGGTGGGCTTTGCTTAGGGGTATCAGGTAAAGGGAACAGGTCGGGGGGTGGAGAGGGAGGAGGAGTGGGGTGGCGCAGCTGCATGGGGGTGTGTGTGTGGTGCACCTGGGGAAGTGGGATGTGCTGCGGAGGCTGAAGCTTGCGTTTGGATCTTGCAACTGCAGATGAAACACTGGGCAGCATCTGCTGCGGCTGGCTAGGGCCTCTGCTGTCCCTTCGTGCCCCACCAGGACCAGGTCCCCAGTCCTCATCATCGTCATCACTCTCATCATCACCGTCGTGATCTTCGTCACTATCATCATGGAAATTA